GAAATCCGAGAATGCAGTCAACTATTTCAATTACCTATATATATATATATAAACACCCTACATAGCACAATGACTTCTGGGGCTGGCATAGATTTTTTTTTTTTTTCCCAGGGCTGCTTCGTATCCCCAGTCCGGCCCTGCTTGGGAGATGTGCAGAATGTTATAGGAGCTTATGCAAGCTCACACACTCCTTCATTTGCTCCATACATGCACAAGCACCAAGAAGCTTGTAGGAGGGAAGGGATTTCCTGGAGGACGGGCTGAGGGGAGGAATTGGGAGACTTTAGCTGCCCATAGGCATGCGCACGGGGTGTGCCTGGACACACCCTAATCCCTGCGGCACTCCTATGGATTGAGACCGGCAGGGGAGATATCAGGATCTCCCTTGTCGGCTCATGCAGAGCCGGCACTATCAGAGTGCCGCCTCTGCTCTAAGCCTCCATGGGCCGGTGGGGAGATCAAAGATCTACTTCACCGGCCCACAGCAGCAAGGAGGGAGGCAGGAGAGGAACCAGGGAGCTCTAGCCAGCAGCTCCGGCGGGTTCCTCTTGTGAGATCGGAGCGTTGCTGTGGCAACGCTCCGATCTTGCAAGAGTGAACTCTAGCCTCGCCGGCTAGAGTTCCCTCTCCACTGGACCACCAGGGGTGGCACATGGCCGCAATGATCCCCCCCCTCCCTACATAAGATAAGAAGGGAGGGGGAATATTTACTAATCTGCCCCCACCTCCACCCCCACAATCCCTCCAAACATTTAACCCTCACACAGCACACTAACAGGACCCTAACAAACACCCTCACACACAGCACACAAACCGAACCCTCACAAACACCCACATAGCACACTACTAGCACCCTCACACACACACATCACACTAACAGCACCCTCACACAGCACACTAACAGCACACACACACACACAGCAGTGTGTGTGTGTGTGTGTGTATATATATATATATATATATATATATACACACATACACGCGGCGTGTGTTTGTGCTTTAGGGTGCACACCCTAATGCAATAGGCTGCGCACACCTATGGAGCTGCCATTGGTTGTCTGTCTGTCACCAGCAGCATCCTCTCTATATTTACAGAATTCACCAAGCCAGCCCAGAACTCACGTGGAATTACGCCTTTGACAGCAATGTGCTTTTTCTCCGTATGTGCAGCTTTTCATACTGAAACATTGCGCATACAGACTGCAAGCATCATATCCAATTAAAGGGACACTATAGGCACCAAGACCACTTCAGCTGGGTGCAGTGTCCCTGTCAGTTTAACCCTGCAATTGTAATCCTTGCAGTTATTGGGAAACTGCAATAATTACATTGCAGGGTTAACTCCACCTCTAGTGGCTGTCGGCTGTGGGCATTTAGTCACTGGGCAACGTGCCTCGACAGGCTGACCAGCCCTTTCATCGAGGTCACTACCCAGCATAGCATTTGGAGATTTATTTCAGCAGAGTTGGACATTTTTACACTACCGGTCATTTAAACATAAAACATGTACTCCTGCTTTCCGTTCCCCACACTTCAGTAAAACACACTTGGGAGATTATTTTTCTAATTCGGCTATATTGGACTAACAGTTTGAGGGTTATTCGCTGAAGTGAGGGTTGCAGGGAATTCCAAGCGAATTTCAAATTTAAGGCCAAAGTAGCCGAACTGAAAGTTCCAGTTCAACTACTTTGGCCTTAAATTTGAAAATTCACGTTGAATTCCCTGCAACCCTCCCTAACCCAGTTCATTTCACCAGACTGTAATATGTAGGAGAAAATAACTAACCAGAAATAAAAAATAAAGCCCCTAACTCAGCTACAACCAAAGGTTCCCCATTATTTTTAACCCCTTAAGGAAATGTGTGGCATCTTAGGATTCCCTTTTATTCCAGCAGTTTGGTCCCTCCCCCCTCCATGAATCCACTTACTCTGCGATCGTTGCGTTAGGTCTGCTTTCCGGGATCGGTTGGTGAGGTCTGGGTGACGTCACGTCCCAAGATGGCGGCTCACTGCGGCAGCGTGCAGAGTGTGGGGAGCATCCTGCTGGACCCCGGCCGCCCTCTCCCCGCGCGGTTCCGGGCGCTCTTCACGCTGAGGAGCCTGGGAGGCGCCGAGGCCGTGGAGCTGATCGGCCGGGCCTTTGGCGACGGGTCCGCTCTGCTGAAGCACGAGCTGGCTTACTGCCTGGGCCAGATGGGGGACCGCGCGGCCATACCTGTGCTAAAGCAGGTCCTGCG